CAAACAGTTATTTATTATTAGTTTACTATATAGAATATGATCTAAGGCAGGGGTCGGCAATGCTTTTTGATGAGGAGCCGCTCCAAGATTTTGGTAAGTGGTCAAAGGCCACACTTTCCAGTGCGGGGAGTGCAGAAGGGAACTTGGGGTAGGGAAATGGGGTGTAGGAGAGGGCATGGGGTCTGAGAGGGAATTTGGGTTAAGGAAGGAGTTGTGACCTGGGGCAGGGGATTGAGGTGCAGGATACGGAAGGGGGTAGGCGTGCAGTAGATTTTGGCCTGGGGGAGGGAAGTGGGCGGTGCACTGTCTGTGAAAGACTGGTGACCTGGACAGGAGGGGTGCCGAGGATTTGGGTGATGATTTGGGGTAGGAAATTTGGGTGCAGGGACAGGGAGCGGGTAGCGGTACAGGAATGGATTTTGACCTGGCTGCTAGAGGTTTAGAAGAGGAGGCAGGGTCTGGGAGGGAGTAGTGACCTGGGGCAGGTGTGTGTGTGTGTTTGTGTGCAGAGGGTGGTGGGGGGGGGGGGGGGAATGACCTGGGACAGGGCATTTGGAAGCGGGGTGCCAGAAGCAGGCTCTGGCCAGGAGGCACTTATCTTAGGCAGTTTCCTGCCTGCTGCAGTCCCAGGGTGCTCAAAACAGCTGGAAGCTCCCTCCGTGTGCTGCACTGTGGAGTGTGTCCCTGGGAGGGGAGACTTTGCATGTTGCCCCCACCCTCAGATCAATCATCACAGCTCCAACTGGCCGATTTCCAGGGGCAGTCAGGGGCATAAGGGGTGCACGGCACTTAGAGGGAGCCATCATCCGATTTGAACATCCTCGGGGTGCAGCAGGCAGAGAGTCCGTCTTGAGGTCTTGGCAGGGCAAGCTGTGGACCGGATCCAAAGGCTTGGCAGGCTGGATCCAGCCCGCAGGCCGTATTGTGCCTACCCCTGATCTAAGGCAACAGTGAAGTTTTTAAGGGGGAACATGGTGTATTGCCTGGACCAATAGAGAACAGAAACAGCATTGTAGTCTACCACACCATTTGAGTACAAAACAGTTCTTGCAATAAAATAAATAAAATCCATAGTCACGTTATGCTATGGTAATTGTGCTGACACTGCAGCAGCTATTCCCCCTCCCTCCCGCCCCAGTTGTCCCACCACCTGGAGAGAATCTACTTGAAGCAGAGTGCTCTATATAGACAGTCCTTCTAGGTTTACCTGGGACTGACTGTATGTGCTTCCTCATCTGTTATTTGACTGATTCTGAGGGAAACTCACTGTCAGAGCATTTATATTTTCTCATAAGTGGGTCAAAATATATGCCTGAATGCAAAAACCACCTAGCTTCTGTAATATGAAATGAAATATCACTTCTTATCAAACATTTTGCAGACTGGGGTTTAATTGTAGTCAACATTAGGAGACTGAAATAGGACTGTAGGTCTTTTGAGCCCAATGTAAATGTAAACAAATATAACTAACTCTATAATGTCAGTTCTAAGGTGCAGTATTTGTTTCATAGCTAAAGCAGATTTTGTTTTCACATTTTATTCTCCGCTCATGAGTCACTTTAAAATTTGAAACTAGGGACTGATTTTATTTTGAGCCATCTAAATCCATTACCTGAAGTCCAGGAGTAGGGACTGGTTTATATTACTAGCAGATTAGTGCTGTGCCAATTGAGAAAGTTTGCTTCAGTTCCAGGGGCTAGTATCTTGGCTCTTGGACTAGTAGAATATAAGTATCCCCAAAAAGGTGGGGGTGGTAAGCAAATACTATTCATCAGATATCCCTCTAACAGATGAAGGAGCAATATTGATCAGCTCTTGAAGGATTTCTGTCCACGTCAGCCACAGAAATGGTACTGTTGCACAAAGCATCAGGAATGGTAGGATTCCAGTGGGATAAAGTGCAAAGTAGAAAATGAATACTTTAGGGTTGCTTTAGGCAGTTACAATTTAAAAATGGCTAAATGAAATGTGTATTATCTGAACAAATTGCCAGCTATTAGCCTATATAAAATGAATCTTTAGATTACCCTGGATTCAAGAAGTCGTGTCTTTTCAGCATGGGCTTGTTTCAGAAGTCTCTCCATTTCTTCTATCCTGGCAACATTTGAAGTGCTGGCACTATATGAATTTTAAAAAAAAACAACCTCAAAACTATATTTTCCAGACTACTCTGGATAATTTAATTTGATAAAAAAATCAGATCCAGTTAAATACATCTAGTTCCAAACAATGTTCCCTCAAAATTTTTCCATCTGTGTGCAGAATAAATGTTATTATGTGCACCCAGGCATTTGCAGATGTGCACCACCAATAGAAATACATGCTGCAGGCTATGGACATCTGTGGGCCCTCTGCTAATCAGCTGAGCAGCATTTGAATCTCTCCTGGGTGGTCACCAACGCGCACAACTTACAGAGAATACTGGTCCCAAGTACAAACAGTGTAGTAAGCATAATATACTCTCAACAAATACAGTCTCTTATCCAGAGCTATGCAAAAATACAGACCTGATAGTCTAAAGATAACTTCGTGAGTTCAAAAGAAATAAACAAATAGCCACCCAAATTAACTTTATCTAGTGAGAAATCATTTGATCCATAGGAATAGTGTGTACATTTGTGTGTAAATAACATTTAGAAATTAGGCTAAAATTGCCAAAATAACCTGAAGGAGTTAGACATTCAAATCCCAGTGAAATTCAACAGGATCTAGGCACCTAACTCTATTAGACAACTTTGAAAATCCCAGCTTTCAGCTTCTATTTGCAAGCAGGTCTATGTAGGGTTGCCAGGTGTCTGGTATTGACACGGAAAGTCCGGTATTTTCGCCTCCTGTCCAGTAAAAAAAATTTCAGAAAATACTGGACACCTAAACTGTCCGGTATTTTCTGATTTTTTTTTCCTGGCCAGCAGGCAAAAGTACCAGATACCTGGCAACCCTATCGCTCAGGGCTGGGCCCCGACACCCCAGGCCTCCATGCTTACCTGGTTCTGCAGGGAAGCTAAGTTCTGGCTTGAACACCACCACAAAATAGGCACCGGCAAAAAGCCTAAAGACTAAGGGGAAGCAAAGCCTTCCCTGGGTCTTAGTGTTCAACCGCTCCACTGTTCCTATGCCTATTCTAACTCTGCACTCACTCTAAAAGGGGCCATGCTGTTTTAATATTTATTTCTTTATTGCTTAATAAGTCTCGGATTCCTTTTTTTTGCTCAACAACTTTGGTCTCCCCTCCTCCCCCCAACAGAATTTTTTCCCCGGTGTGTTTTTTTTTTGTGGGGGGTCGGGGGACGGTATTTTTGGTTCAACCATCTGGTAACCCTAGGTCTATGGGTAGTTAGGTGCACAATGTCTCTGTTAAAGCGAATCACAGCACAGTAAGTAAATTATGGATGTAAAATCCCAATTAATTAACTGGTTAAATACTAGTTAATATTATTAAGTAACTGATTAAGCCAGGATACAAGCGTGGAAGGTTGTTGCTGCCTGCTTCCCCCTACTCTCACGGGGGTAGGCTACTGGCTCCCAAACACTGCACAGAGCTGTTCCCAAGCAACTGGTTAACCATTCACATTCCTAAAGTCAATCATAGCAAAAAGCCAGATTTAAATTCTATTACTACACTAAATTGTACTGTGCAACAGTATTTCTGAGGCACTGCTCAACCTGAGTGCAGCTATCACACTCTGGCCCATCTGTGAGCTTCCCTACATCAACAAACATTAGAAAGAAAAGTTTAAAATCAAATTGCCAATAATACGTAACACCACATAATAAAACTATGTTGTAATTGTGGTAGAAATGTAGTCCTCTGAACTGTCATTTATGCTTAAATTCGACACTTTACACGGAAATTTGAATAAAGACGCTAATTATCTTACCCATTACAAAGACAGCTTCCCCAATTATCACCTCTAATATCATTAGCTCACAGACATTTACCTCCCTCCCTTCCCTCCCCCCCTCCCCGATCCCTCTTCTGTTCTGAAATTTGATTTGTCCTTTTCATGTGTGTTCATTTTTTTTAATTGTATCCTTTGGTATATATGGATGTGACAATTTTCTTCCACTATTTGATCTGAGGAAGTGGGTCTGGCCCACGAAAGCTCATCACCTATTAAACCATCTTGTTAGTCTTTAAAGTGCTACACAGTCCTGTTTTTTATGTTGTAATTGGAGCAACATTTCCAGCTTTGAAAACACAAACTTCTGTTAGGCCTCTATATGTATCTCCTACATTACAATTTGCTGCTATAAACAAAACAAGAGGATTGCAGCAAATATTGATCCTCAATATCTATTTCCAACAACTAAACAACGTCTCCATTACATTTAAATTGGTAAATACTATACTGATATAAGGGTACTATTCCTCAAACTGCTCCATAACATTAGTAAAGTCCCCTAGCACTGTAACAATGGAAGAAGAGTGCAATGGGCTGGTACTCACATTTTTTCCTTTACAGGAAACAGATGCTCAACAAAACACAATATGGCATCCAAAAATCTTTCCTCAGGTTCAGATTAAGTTTGAATTCTGTGACACTGCTGTATTTCATTGACAGTAATCTGATACTTTCCCAGACAGGAAATTTGGCAGAAATCAAAGTGCTACCACCACAATGGGATACTTAGAAGAAAAGGTTGTCAACATTCTGTTTTCAGACCCCCAGCTACTGTGTATTTTTGTTTTTAAATAAATAAAAGACTTTTTATCTCTAGTGGTTAAATTAATATGATCCTAAAACAAGAGAAACATAGCCTATGGCTTGGAACCAAGAACTCTTTTTTTAAATTCTGATTTGGAGAGGAAAGACTGCTAGCATGATTGCCAAGAGATCCCAACAGTTCAAAAATACAAGCTCCCTAATGAGTTTAACACATTAGACACAGATCATGGACTAGACAATACGTATCCTATGTAAGAAATCAACAGGGAGACAGTTTTGTGCTAAAAACATTAACACATGCAGAAAATCAATTCCTCACTAAATTTTAATCCCAACTGTGACACTGAATCTCTATGTAACCTTAAACAAGTTATTTAACCTCTCCATACTTTAATTTCCCTCTTGCAAAACTAAATTTGATATGAGAATTAGTTAAAATTATTTGAAGATGAAAAGCACTATCCAAGAGCTAAATAATATTTCTGTACAATTCTTGCAGATTTTTTTACCCAGTTGGTAAAAGTCCTATCTTCACTTTCTCCCCTTAAGTAGAAATATTATAGGGATATAAAGCTTTCAACATTTACAACATGTTCTTTTATACCAGTTTCCATTATGGAAAAAAATGAGACATTAATATTTACCTGGAAATATTATCAGGTGAACATGCAGATATGCTGGTCTCCATACTGTCAGAACTATCTAAGCTTAATGTATCAAATGCATAGTCCTTGTAGTTATGATCAGGATAATGGAAGCTATTCAAATACACATTAGATTCAGATGCAGTTCTGCTGTAGAATTCAGGAGATTTCTGCCTTTGTTCTTCACATATATGTTGATGATTATACCCTAAAGAGTACATTCAAAAAGAAAAGAAATGTGAGCTTACCTAATTTTTAGACTTAAAATTATCTTAACTAAAAAGTCAATGTTCAGAAATAGCTGCAGAATTATTTTGATTGCCCTCTTATACTATAGTTTTACTGTGACCAAATTTGTAGTGTTCTGAAGAATTTAATAGAATAATCATCAGTTTACTGGTTTTACTTGTGACTGACACCAAAGAATTCAATTTCATCACCTGTGGAATTAGTTTGTTGGCTAAAGTTGCAAAAAACTAAAACTAAGATGTGACAGATATTGCAACCCTTTAGAGTATCTTTGGGGGAGACTACTGTATTAAATTATGAATGGCTTATGTGTAACTGTGTATCACTCCTTGGAAGAAGGTTACCACAGCTTCTTCAAGAAAAGAAACAAGTTGGGAGTGGTAAGATGGGCTGCTGAGACTAAATAGTTCCAGAAGTGCTATGCTCTGGGGTGTCTTGCATATGCTGATTCAAACAGGGTTTTCTACAGACTCAAAAAAAGAACTTGTGGTGTAAAAAGCTGAGTTTAAACATATTTGTGTCTTCCTTTTGATTCAGCAAAGAGGCAGGAGATAACCGAGTGCACTTCCAACACTTGCTGAAATTTTAAAGACTTTGACCTACCGCGGCCTCAGGTAGATTTGTTCTTTTATTATATTGTGTCTGTAATGCTTAAGGTAGAGCTGTGATGTGATTGCTTAGATAGAGCTGTGTGGTAACTTGTACCTGCTGGCAATGCAGAAAGAACGGTTACTTACCTGTTACTGTTGTTCTTCGAGATGTGTTGCTCATGTCCGTTCGAATTAGGTGTGCGCACCACGTGCACCATGTCTTCCGGAGCGTTTTCCCTAGCAGTATCCATAGCGCCGGCAGGGCGCCCCCTGGAGTGGCACTGCCATGGCGGGGCATAAGTACCCCTGCTGGCGCTGCCCCACCTCAGTTCCTTCTTGACAGATGCTCCAATGAAGGGGAGGTGGAGGGGAATCAAATGGACATGAGAAACACATCTCGAAGAACAATAGTTACAGGTAAGTAACCGTTCTTTTCTTCTTCGAGTGGTTGCTCATGGCATTCGAATTAGGTGACTTCCAAGCCAACCCCACTTCAAGGAGGAGGGGTCGGAGCACTCAGAAAGAGAAGTCCACGAAAGTTGAACAATCCAAACATATTTATTCAACTAACCTAACACAGAAAAAACTATAGAAAAGTGCAATGTGGTACAGATTAAACATACATATTTACAATACAGAGCTGAGGACCGCAGAGCCCAACCCTGCGTCCTCCCTAGCCTGCTGTGCCAGCGCGTAGTGCGCCATAAAGGTATGGAGCGATGACCATGTGGCCGCCCTGCAGATTTCAGTGATTGGAACATGCGCCCCAAAAGCTACAGAGGACGCCTGCGCCCTGGTGGAATGTGCTGTAACCCAGGGCGGGACCTTCCTGGCCAAGGCATAATACTCCCTGATACACCCTGCGACCCAACTGGACAACCTCTGGGTCGATATGGGAAGCCCTTTCATTCTGTCAGCGACAGCAATAAACAATTGTGTGGATTTGCAAAAGGGTTTAGTCCTATCAATATAAAAGGCTAGCGCACCTTAGGGGAGGTGTGGGGCTTTGGAAAGAAAACCGGGAGGTAAATTTCTTGGGACGAGCGGAACGGTGACACCACCTTGGGGAGAAAGGCCAGGTGAAGGCGGAGATTCACATTATTGTCAGAAAACACTAGGTAGGGCGGGTTTACAGTTAACGCCCTCAGTTCGGAGACCCTGCGAGCCAACATAATGGCCACGATGAATGCAACCTTCATAGAGATGTGTTTCAAAGAACACGTGGCTAGGGGGGCGACACAAGTCTAGACAAAACGAGGTTGAGGTCCCAAGTGGGGAGAGGGGGTCTAACCGAGGGATACAACTTATCCAAACCCTTAAGGAACCTTTTGACCACAGGGTCAGAAAACAGAGACTCCTGCCGAACCAACATGGAAGGAGAGAGATGCCACATGGACTTTGATACAGGAGGTAGAGAGGCCACTGAACCTAAGTTCAAAGAGGTAGTCCAGAATGGACAGGACAGGTGCACAGGACGGATGCACTCCCCTTCTGGACGCCCAAGACGAGAACCGCCACCACTTGGCTGCGTACGACCGCCTGGTAGACAGTTTCCTACTACTTAGGAGCTCCATCTGTAGCTCCTGGGAACTTTCCCTTTCCGGTTGGGTCAGCCACGGATAAACCAGGCCATCAGGTGGAGAGAGCTGAGATTCGGGTGAACCATGGTCCCCCCGTCCCAAGGTTGGGTCAGGAGATCCCAAACTGGTGGGAGCGTTATAGGCTCCTCACTGAGCATGTCCACCAGGATAGGGAACCAGAATTGCTTGGGCCACCGAGGGGCTATCAGGATGACCGTGGACCTGAAGGTCTTGACCCTGGTCAGAACTCTGGGAATTAGGGGAAATGGAGGGAAAGCATAGAGGATGCCCGCCGGCCACGGCACCATCATGGCATCCCGCCTGGAGTGTTCCCCCAGCCCCAACAGGGAGCAGTAACTGCGGCACTTGGTATTGTGTGCTGAGGCAAACAGGTCTAGTAGGGGACAACCCCACCAGTGGAAGATCTGACGAAGGGCTGAATCCTTGAAAGACCATTCGTGGGCTCCGAAGGACATGCTCAGAGCATCGGCCAGCAAGTTTTTGCACCCTGGCAGGTACTCCGCCTGCAAAACTATGTCGTGTTCTATGCACAGGTCCCAGAGGCATAGAGCCTTGCAGCAGAGGGGAGGCAACCGGGCTCCCCCCTGCCTGTTGAAGTAAAACACAGCTGCTGTGTTGTCCAGGCGGACCAGGACAGAGCGGCGAGAGAGCTTTGACAGGAAGGTCTCGCAGGCTCTCCTGACTGCCCTGAGTTCCCAGACATTTATGTGCAGAGCCCGCTCTGCAGGGGACCATAACCCCTGGGTCCTGTGACACCCCAGGTGTGCTCCCAAACCCAGGTCGGAAGCATCTGTGACCAGTGTAAGCGAGGGGGGAGGTACACTGAACAGAACCCCACTGCACACCACCGCCTCCTGGGTCCACCATTGTAAGGAGGCTATGACCTCCGGAGGCACTGTGAGAACTGTGTCTCAGAGACCCCTGGACTGGTTGAATGCCCTCGCCAACCAGGCCTGCAGAGGCCTGAGCCTCATTCGACCATGGCGTACCACATACGTACATGCCGCCATGTGTCCCAGCAACCTCGAGCAGACCCGAGAGGTCGTGATAGGGAACCGAGTTAACTCGGAGACCATCTCCACTATGGACAGAAACCTGGTTCTGGGGAGGAGTGCTCTCGCCACCCTGGCGTCCAGGAGGGCACTTACGAATTTGAGGTGCTGGGAGGGAGTCAACGATGACTTCTCCTCGTTTAGCATGAGTCCCAACCTTACGAAGAGGACCCTTGTGAGGGAAACATGGGCCTCCACTTGTTCGCAGGAATGACAATGAATTAGCCAGTCATCCAGGTACAGAAAAACGTGTACCCCTTTTTTGCGGAGGAACGCCACTATGACTGCCATGCATTTTGTAAAGACCCTGGGTGCTGTTGAAAGGCCAAATGGGAGCACTGTAAATAGGAAGTGGCATCGGGAAACAATAAAATGGAGAAACCTCCTGTGGCTGGGTCTTATTTCCACATGGAAGTAAGCATCCTTGAGATCGAGAGTTGCATACCAGTCTCCTAACTGTAAAACCAGGATGACAGAAGCCAGGGTTACCATTCTGAACTTGGACTTCATGACCTCCTTGTTGAGGTCACTGAGATCTAAGATGAAACGAACCCTGCCCTTGGGTTTCGGGACAATGAAATACTGGGAATAAAACCCTTTGCCCTCCAGATGTGAAGGGACCCTCTCCACAGCTCCCTTTTCGAGGAGCGCCAACACCTCCTGGCGAAGGGTACGTTCATGAGAGGTGTCCCTGAAAAGGGACGGGGTGGGCGGAGTGGAAGGGGGCGAGCCCAGGAAGGGAATGGTATAGCCACTTCTGACTATTTTTAGAACCCAGGTGTCGGTCGAGATTTCTGCCCAGGCGTGGGCAAACCAGGATAACCTGGCCCCAAACAGGGGGCCAGAGTGGAAGGCTGGTGCGCGACTCTCTAGCAGCCCATCAAAACTGGTGTTTGGGTTGCTGAGAGGGGCCTTGACCAACCCCACGGGGGTTGTCCCCTCTTGGGCGTCATTGACAACCCCTTGCGGAGGTCGGCATCTCCAGTAATCCCCACAGGGGACCTGGGACTGCGTTCTCCCCTGAGGTAGGGCAGCGCTGGCAGGGGTACTTGTCGCCGCTCCAGAGGGCTCCCAGCCGGCGCTACGGGTACCGCTAGGGAAAACGCTCCAGAAGACGCGGTGCACGCGGTGCGCACACCTAATTCGAATGGACATGAGCAACCACTCGAAGAAGAATTCATAGCCCTCAGAGAGAAAACAATGCACAAATGCTGGCCATTAGACAGACTGGTTTCCTGACATAGTGTAGTCAGGGGCCTGAGAAGCCTTATAACTGCCAGTTAGAAGGGAGTGGGTCATGGGTGCCCAACCAGACACAGGTGGCAGGTAGAAGCCCGAGACCTGAGTTGGTACTATTGGATTGAGACATGGGAGGGGGTGGGATGGGAGCCTTTAGGGCTGCCAATTTACATTTGATGCATTCTTGGAGGCTTCATCACATAATATAATCTCTAATTCCTGGAGACTCAAGGATAGTCCTGGAGGGTTGGCAAACCTATATAGGCACAGTCAGGCCTGCCGACAGTAATTTTTAATGCAGGTTGAAACTTTCTAATCTAACACTCTCTGGTCCAACAACAGCCGTGGTTTGGCATGATTTTAATTGGCTGGATGTCCATTTATCATGGGTATGGCCAAGTTTCCTGTGGTCCAATAAAATTTGTTTATAGCCCCCAGTACCGGCTCTCAAATATTCTGTGCTGTTATTTAGCTCTAATTTAACCCTACATGTCTTCTAAGAGCCCAGTAAGCAGTGGAAGATTTGGAAATGCTGCTAGACAATATTGACCTCCCATGATTTGACAGATTCTCTGGTTTGGCACTGGTCATGTCCCGAGGGTGCCAGATTAAAGAGTTTCATCCTGTAACATATTTTCTTCCTCTTGCTCTGTATCTGAACATGAGCTGGTTTGGATCTGGGATAGTTTCTGTGGCATGATAATTGGAAGTATTCCATTTTAGAGCAAACTACTGCCCTTGCAGATTCATCTAAAAAGAGCTACAGCGTATTCAAAATGTATCTGATAGTGCATGGCTCACACCAAACTACACATGGTACTACTTTATTAAGGAAAGAATGTACTACACACACCGCCAAGACAACATACATTATTTCCTCATTTATGTCAGCTATTGAATGTTTTCCTATATACAAATAAAACTGATTTCCAAGATACTAATAGCATTGCACTTGTCGTTCAAGAAGATACTAGATTTCAATGGAAATTCAACTGAATTAGTCAGTGGGGGAGAAAAAAAATGACAAGCACACACATACACTTCCTCTTAGATGGATAATAATTAATACCAGCCTCTATAACAGATGTTACAGATTTGTATGTATAGCTTGCTTTTAATAATTATTATGACTAATGTTGCTATATGATATTTCCAACATTTGATAAAATTACCTTTAATGGTTGTACCTTTGGAATGACTAAGTGCTCCTTTAAAAGGGTTCAATTATTCATTATGAAAAGAAAAGGAAACACAAATTACTGAAAGAAGAAATATTATTCGAATAGGTCCAATTTTATTAGTTTAAATTGCTAAAATCTTTAATTTTAACTTAAACATTTCCTATATTTCATTAAAATAACAAACCCTATTTTTTTATATACAGAATATAAAACATACATGAAACGTCGGAATCTTGTTGAGCATGAAAGGAATTTTAAACTTTCTTATGAGAATGCTTTCTTTCACCTATGGTTATCTTCTACCCCCTTCACACACAGAAAGAATTTAATATTCATGACGGGCATGAAAATTCACAAAATTATTTTAAAATGGCATGCAGCAAAAAGTATAATTTACAACTATGAACACACATTGTAAGAAGTAGTGTGTTATTTTCTTTTTCTGTGAAGAAAAGTTACACTATTATAATAAGGTTTTTTTAAAATTATCTTTTAATTGAATTTAAGCTGATATAACTCATTGACAAACAACAATATCTCTTCCTAAATACAGTGTGTAGGTCATATGTTCAGATACAGAAAAAAATAATACCAAGTTGTCTTTTTCTAGTTGTACCTTAGGAGACAAGCAGTTTACTTGAGTCTCAGTGCTACCATAACTCATCATCAGCTTTCCAAAGGCACCAAAATACAGGCAGGATACTTACATCGGATCCGCACTTACGAACGGGGCTTTTCTCGCCCCGGAGCTCGCGGGCGGCGGGACCACCCAGAGCGCAGCGGTCCCGCCACTGCGTCCTCTGGGGTGAGAAAAGCTGCTCCGGGTCTCCCTGGTGTGCTGGGGGGGACTCCCCAGCACAGCAGGGAGACCCGAGCAAAGCCGCACTGGCGGAGGGGCCCCCCGCCTCTGCGGCT